ACAATTATGCTGTAAAATTTTGTACTTTAATCAATACATTTCATTTTTTTTTTCTGAAAACAGTCTTTTGTATCAAATACTCGGCCTATTCCAGTGGCGGATCTAGGAATTTTGAAAAGGGGGGGGGGGCAGTTTGGGGTTGGGGTAGGGGCCCACAGACACAGATTTATTAAATTTTATGTATATTTTGGACACAAAATGGGAGGGGGGCTGGTTCCCCTCTTAATCCGCCAGTGCATTCATAGGGCGTTATATAAAAGCTAATTTTTACACATGTACTTGGGTCTTGGATTATAAATATGTATGTACCTTATTGATATGTAAAAAAAGAGGTAAGGTACAGTTTTTACATATCAATAAGGTACATACATATTTATAAACCAAGACCAAAGTACCTGTGAATTTTTACCAAAAAATCAATTTCTCAGTAAAATGTGCATTTCATGACGGAAATAAAATAAGAGTATCTGAAGTACAATATCCATAACACAGTATATACAATATCCAAAACATAGTATATAACAGGTTTCACAATAAACGTCAATTAATGAAATTGTTATTCAAGTTTTACAAGGGGGGGGGGTGTGTGGGGTGTGGGTGGAGACGTACTTCTACTTCATGCGGGATTTTGAACAAAGTATTTCTTCCTGCTATAAGCCTGTTGGCTGTCAGTAGAAACTACAATATATATATTATTGGATTTTTTCTGTCGGTAGTGGTATAAATTCAATTCCCCACGCTTGCGCGGGATTTCATCTAGTATATATATATATATATATATATATATATATATATATATATATATATATATATATATATATATATATATATATACGAACTACCTGGTAATGTTTAAGCTATGTTTATAGAAGAGAATTTTATTGAAATATTGGTCAATTGCACCCTTGATATGGTATATACGAACTACCTGGTAAGTGGTAATGTTTAAGCTATGTTTTAGAAGAGAATTGTATTATTTTAAGTTAACAGTCAATACAGCGGTACAAAATGCTCCAAACTGAAGGATTTTGTCCTCGGTGTTGAACACAAAAAAAGGAGGAATGAAGCCAATTTTTTTCAGCGATGACCATGATTTATTTGATAATGTGTAAATTAAAGCGGAAGTCTTTATAAGAATCCCTTAAACAACAATTATTCAAATGCATGCGCGTTATATAATGTTTCCTTGATTCTTTAGCTCACCTGAGCTGAAAACTCAAGTGAGATTTTTTTAACACACTTTTGCGTCCTTCTATAAATTTTTCACATATTCAACTTCTTCTCAAAACCACTGGGTCAATTTCAACAAAACTTGCCACAAAGCATCCTTTGGTGAGGGAGATTCAAGTTTGTTCAAATGAAGGGCCACGCCCTCTTTCAAGGGGAGATAATTAAGAATTAGAAAAAAAATGGTGGCATCATTTAAAAATATTCTTCTCAAGAACTACTGGGTTCATTACATAGTGTTAAGATTCAAGTTTGATCAAATCATGACCCCCGGGGGTAGGATGGGGCCACAATTGGGGGTCAAAGTTTTACATAGGAAAATAAAGCATCCTCAGATAATTTAGATTTAAGTTTGTTCAAATCAAATGGGGTTAGGGTGGAGCTACAACATGGAATCAAAGATTTACATAGAAATATATAGGAGAAAAAAATCTGCTGATGAAGAACGGCAGGGCCCTATTGACTCAGGTGAGCGTTGTGGCCCATGGGCCTCTTGTGTTGGACACGTTTCATTGCTTGGCCAGTATTAATCACGGGATAATGGTATAGTTATCTAGAGACTGGGAAGACAGGGTGATAGAGAATGAAGGGACAAGGAAAAGAGGGCAGCGAATGTTACTGGTCGTGAGTAAACACGTTTACTCAATTTATGTATAGCACGCATTTCTACAGGTTGTTAAGATTGACTGAAACCATATACGATTAATGATTAGAGAAACAATATTATAGGGACTCGATACCCCCTACTTCAGACTGCGATAAGTTTAAAACGCAACCCTGATAAATGTTGACAATCAATGTCCGCTCTTTATTTATAAAAGAGATAGATCTACATGTATCTCGTTGTTATTAATATTGAAAAAGTAAAAATTCCTTGCTTCTACTAAATAATGATTTACAAACTAAATCAACTGAGTGTTCTTTGCAGTGTAGTGTACCTACGTGGACACCAGGCAGATTCTCCGTTTTCTTTGGATTTCTTCACCAGAAACTTTTTAATTCACTGAGGAGTTGTTTAATTGCGTGGAAAAGTTTTTCAAAATGACAGAAAAAAAATCATATATCTAGCTGTCTCGAGAAAAACTCCTGTAATGTGATTTTTTTCCCCTTATACTTGGTAACCTTGTTATTTATTTTGTGAATAGTAGACAATTAACAAATCAATATAATGAAGAAGGTAAATGCATCATCGTCTCTGAATTAAATATCAAGTAACATATACCTACATTCGTAGCATGTATAATATTTTGCTACATTTAATAGTATTCTACCAGTACATGTACGTATATATTATACATGCATTTTATTGTGCATGGGAAAACTTCCTTGAGACGTATTTAAATTTGAAGAATACATCTAATTAAATATTTTTCATTTTATATGTGTATTATGCCATGCAGACATTTAAAGAAAAGCCTGATAAGTTGTGCCAAGGATCCCGTCCCCCGTCCCGATATATGGAACCACTCTATAGAGTATCCGGAGAACGGTGAAAGATGCGTCCCACATCAAACCTGTTCAAATCTTATTTGTAAAAAAAAAAAAAAAAAAAAAAAAAAGAATTTTCTTTATAAACGTGTCATCTGAATAAGTTCTTTTACTCTTTACGTTTTGGCATTTAAGTCTTAGTGCGTAATTCCCCATTCAGGTATTTATAACTTGAACAAAAGGGGGATTTTACTTCCTGGTTCGTAAGACGCAGATGTGAATGGACAGGTAAGGTGTTTTCTCTGTTTACCTGGTGTAATTACTTTAATTATTGATTAATTAGAGGTTTTGATGGGTCCTAATGATTTATGAGGAATTTGTTTTATACGATACATAAATAGTTTTCTAGTTACAGTACATAAGAAATCGAGGTTCGGAGTTTACCCACATTTCATAAACAATTTTTATGTTTTGATACCTGTTGGTATTCCATTCGTGTGTACTTATAGTGTCAGAGCAGAAATATTCTGCCTCCCCTAAAACTCGTGGGTTGGAAGTGGAGATAGATCTGTCTTTCTTTGTGAGAGAGAAGGAGAGTGTGTCCATTTGTAATTCTTTCATGCAGACTTCTATTACACTTGTAAAAATATTTTCATGAAAAACTCAATAAGGTAAAAAAGCAGAGTATTCCTTCGCGGGGAAATGAAGGGGGTTGGTGGAGGCTGTAAGTTAAACGTTAAAAGCAAATGTAAAGTGCACGAAAAGAAATGAACTCATTTGTCATTTATCTTCTTTTTGGACGATGTCTGCTCATTTTTTTATGAAAGGAAAATTTAATCTTTTGTATTTTTTCATCTCCCAGAGCGTTATAGTTAACCAAGGGTTACAATCCGAAATCTACTCTTCAACGTTGCAGAGTAGATTTCGGATCAGAAACCCTTGGGAAGCGAAGATGCTCCAGAAGATATGGCACTAGCAGGTTAGCTATAGTCTATATTTACCCTGACATCTGAATACAAAAGAAGACTTTATCTGTAACCAGTTTGTCTGCAGTGGGCTTCAGAAAGAACATAGTGTGAATTTAGCATATAATGACAATCATTCTCTCGAGAGTAAATGCTGAATATTATTTACATGTATTACATATTTCCTTTAATCCATGTTATCAAAATAATGATGTGCCTACACTTAATATTGGAACTATTCTATTCATCAGCCCAAAAGCATTCATTACGGTTCTAGTCTCTTAGAGGCTTTTGTTAACATATTAAAAACATCCAACCAACCATGTACAGAAAGTTGATCCGTTTTAATTATATCGTTCTTCCTTTGATTGCTGCACCGGACTCCGCCATTTACCCCAAGAAAAATATTATTAAAAAAAAAATAAAAAAAGAGAAATAAGGAAGTATTGATGAACTGTTTAAAGGGATCTCTGTAGATTATTTGAGTGGCGAAAAAACATAATTATACATACAAAAGAAGTGTTTAATCTATCTTGGTCTTGTTACGTAATTGGATTGATTACAATTTAATTCATCGAAGATGCTAAGTTAGATTATCTTAGATACTCTATAAAGGCAAATCAGTCTAATTGCATAAATCCTTACATGTATGATATATATATATATATATATATATATATATATATATATATATATATATATATATATATATATATATATATATATATATATAGTAATCTTTTGCGCATCCCTTGAGAACGCTGGGGGGGGGGGGGGCAGAGAGGACCCTCCCATTTTTTTCTGGGGAATAGTCTTTTACTGTAGTTTTAATGTGCAAATTTTAAATTTTCATTTAGATGCTGGTTGCCTCTTCCCCTTTATTTTTGCTCCAGGTCGAACACTGGCAAAATTCCAGAAAAAATATACCAAAAAAAGTTAAAGGAAAGTCCCTTCCCCCTCCCACCACCACCACTTAATAAGATTATCGAGTTTGGATAGTTTAAGTTTTTAGTATTTTTTTTTTAAAAACTGTTACTACGGGCCTGTCGTATGCAGTGTATAAAGGGCCATCAGTGTATGTAAAAGCATAATTGTGTTGTCATGCAGGGGTTCACTTATCTTTTTGAAACTTTAAGAATCAAAATCGTTATCGATTTAAAAAAAATGTATACATCAAGAGAAGTGATTTGTATCTTTAATTGCAAATATTAAAATATGTACATGTAAATATTATAAATGTAGTTTACAACTGTCTTAATATGCTCATATAACAATGCACGTTAAACATCTATCAGGAAAAATACCTGTCGTAAAGTGATTAAGTATCTTTAAAATGAATATCGGTATTCGGTGCATGTACATTAGCTCACTAGTGGATATAAAGCGATAAGCAAATCATAAATAAATATATTTACTGTGCAAGATGAAAAAGACTGAATTCTCAAGAGAAAAAGTTGTACTTTGCAGAAATATGGCGACAAAAGTGACTTTCAAACACAACAATGATAACCTGACTGTGAAAGAGTTTTACGACCGATACCACTCGAACCTTCCTCGGTTAATTGTGGTCACTCAGGGTTACTGCGGTGATATTGGTCTAGAGGAATTCAGCATTGGACAGGTAAGTTACTTGTACTTATAACTTTGAGAGATAAAATTGGCATAAGACTAGGTACATGTACTGGTCAGTTAATGGAAGGATTCAATGTAAAACAGGTCAGTAACTGGTCAAATAATCGGAGGAATTCAGCATTAGGACAGGTTAGTCACTGGTCAATTAATGGGAGGAATTCAGCATTTGGACAGGTTAGTTACTGGTCAATTAATGGGAGGAATTCAGCATTTGGACAGGTTAGTTACTGGTCAGTTAATGGAGTTCAGCATTAGGACAGGTTAGTTACTGGTCAGTTAATGGGAGGAATTCAACATTTGGATAGGTTAGTTACTGGTCAGTTAAAAGAAGGATTCTGTGTAAAACAGGTCAGTGACTGGTCAATTAATCGGAAGAATTCAGCATTAGGACAGGTTAATGACTGGTCAGTTAATGGGAGGATTCAGTGACTGGTCAGTTAATGGGAGGAATTCAGCATTAGGACAGACAGTTACTGGTCAGTTAATGGGAGGAATTCAGCATTTGGACAGGTTAGTGACTGGTCAATTAATGGGAGGAATTTAGCAATAGGACAGGTTAGTGACTGGTCAGTTAATGGGAGGAACTCAGCATTAGGACAGGTTAGTAACTGGTCAGTTAATGGGAGGTGTTCAGCATGACTGGTCAGTGAATGGGAGGAATTCAGAATTAGAACAGGTCAGTGACTGGTCAATAAATGGGAGGAATTCAGCATTAGGACAGGTTTTAGTGACTGGTCATGCAGTTAATGGGAGGAATTCAGCATTGGGACTGATCAATGACTGGTCAGTTTGTTTGAACATATTTTATTGCAATAAATATATACAATGGGATTTGGCACAAATTCTAAAAACTTAATTCGCCCTCTCCCTACATGTTACATCACAAAAGATTGAATCAGACGTGTCCAACAGCATGTACTAAGTAAATTAACTCACAACATAGAAACATATATTGCTATATTATTATCTGTACATATCTTTAGAAAAATCAATTAAATCTGCCTGAATGCTGAATGTAAGATTGAACAATAGAGAAGAGATATTCATTTTCAGCAGTACTGAGTGAAGTATCCCCCCAGAGTAAAGTATGAGTGTCAACAATATGAACTTTATTAAATCTCAAAAACTTATCGAAGAAATCTTTCCTGGCCTCAGTGTAATTAGGACAACGATGTAAATGTAAAACAGGTCAGTAACTGGTCAAATAATCGGAGGAATTCAGCATTAGGACAGGTTAGTTACTGGTCAATTAATGGGAGGAATTCAGCATTTGGACAGGTTAGTTACTTATTTACTGGTCAATTAATGGGAGGAATTCAGCATTTGCACAGGTTAGTTACTGGTCAGTTAATGGAGTTCAGCATTAGGACAGGTTAGTTACTGGTCAGTTAATGGGAGGAATTCAACATTTGGATAGGTTAGTTACTGGTCAGTTAAAAGAAGGATTCTGTGTAAAACAGGTCAGTGACTGGTCAATTAATCGGAAGAATTCAGCATTAGGACAGGTTAATGACTGGTCAGTTAATGGGAGGATTCAGTGACTGGTCAGTTAATGGGAGGAATTCAGCATTAGGACAGACAGTTACTGGTCAGTTAATGGGAGGAATTCAACATTTGGACAGGTTAGTGACTGGTCAGTTAATGGGAGGAATTCAGCATAGTACTAGTTAGTTCCTAGTCAGATTTTGGGAGGCAGTTTGTCTCTTATGGCTTATCAGAAAATGTGTGTTTCAGCAAGTAAGTACTTTGACATTCTTCATCGAAAAATGACTATAAGTCTTAAGACAACGACATATTAGAATATTGTAAGGAAGTTCATGTAGTCTTAAAACGGGAAATGTTTAATATAAGTTGAAGTATATTTTACATGTATATACAAAATAAGAAATTAATTCTTTACGTCTAGATAAAACCTTTATTAAGTTGACATATTGCGCATTCACCCTTTTTTTATGCCCCACTTCGAAGAGGGGAGGGCATATTGCTTTGCTCCTGTCTGCCGGTCGGTCAGTTGGTCGGTTTTTCTGTGTGTCTGTCTAGCTGTCGATCCACCAACAGTTTCCGTTCATTTTCTTCGTAGAGGTTGCATGTACATACTGAAATGAAATTTGGTATACAGATTTATCATAGGAATATCTATTTCCGGTTTTGTTTTGGGTACGATCGAGCAATTTTTGACAGAGTTATGCCCCTTGGACTTGGAAATTCGTAGTTTCAATAATTTCCAGATAAAAGAAGTTGCTGAACACGCTTTTATTATATTTCCTTGTGAAATGCTATAGCAACATATAATTCATGATATTAATCAGAAAAATTTGAGAAAATAACTTCAAATCTGTGTCCAGGCTCCTATAAATCGCTATAGATAATATAGATTATATTATCTCGTTGTAACGAGATAAATAACTCGTTATAACAAGACAATAAGTCGTTACATTAGTCTTTTTTAAAATCGAAATACGCATGGTGGACTTCGTTGTAGGGAATTCTGGGAATACTAAATAAATATAGATAAACTGTATGTCAATATCGTTTCATCATATGAAAATTCAATTGATCTAAAGTTTCGTGTTCTGTTGTCTAGGCATTGTATTAATGTAATTTATATACATTGTAATATTAATATTTTCTCTTTTAATATGAAGGTGATTCGGATACACACATACTCCACCCAGAAACGAGTCGTAGCTAAGGTGGAGAAAGGATTGTCCGTGCTGGAGGGGCGGGAAATTAGTATCCCCGTGGACTACGGAATGAAGTTCTGCTCCCTGAAAGGCGGCAAGAAAAGTGAGTTGTTGAACAGCATTACTGTGACAGCATTATGTTTCATTAAAGGCATTGCGTATGGTGTTTTTCAAATCTGTAATGCATTAATGTTGATACTAGACTTGTAAATGACCATTGTGGCCAAGTTTTGCTTTCGTTATTTAATAAATATTTGTTGTAAACGATTTGTAAATATAATTTTTTAAAATTAACTCAGTGAAAGTGATCAGACATCAACGAAGATATACTGAGATGTTATGGTATGACACAAAATTTTCATCTGTTTGGCATATGGGAGAAATGGTGTTAATTCTGCTGATTTGCATATCGGCCATTTTGGAATTATAATGGCGACCGAATTTATAAAGATTTATATAGAGAAAATACAAAAAAATCGCGAATTTTTATACCCTAACTATTTCGGATAAAGTTCTTCCGCCGATGGTTTGATTCTTCTTAACAATGACAAGATTGTTGATACCAAAGTGAAAGTTGCGACCGCCTTTTTGATTTGAAAATTCGAAGCGAAATTATATTGTTTTAATGAAGGAAAGCGCACAGAATTGGTGGTTTTATCATTTTTTATGAGGAAATGTAAGTGTTTATTACAAGTTGACAGTTCTTCCGCCGATTAAGAGGTGCAGGAGAGAGTCTATTTTTATAAAATACATATGCTTTACCGTTCCATGATGAGTAACGACCGCCTTTTTAATTTGAAAACGGCAATTTTTTGCATCAGTGTGACCTACTTTATATCGGGAAACGGTGTCCTGAGTCGTCAGCTGTTATTCACACAAATTTCTACCCATATAACTATGACGGAGCCTTGAAGAAAAAAAAACAAAACAAAACAGGCTTGCAGGTTTTAACAGAAAAATTAAAAGAAATGGAATTTCGAGTTTATTCAGTATCTTATGAATATTAACGAGAAATAAATCACGTGGAAGCAATCTCATGAATAAATTGCACACAATTTCTCCATATGGCCGCTAACGTAATCCACGAATCTATGTTTTAACAAGATATTGAGCAGTGATCTGATCATTCACGCTAAAGATAAATGTTTTCTCATCCAGGTGGCAAAGAACAAACGCTGAGTGAAATTCTTGAGAAGCATTCACTCCCGGTGGAAGTGACGCCATCTGACTCTCACCAACTCATGAATATTCAAGGTCAGGAACGAGAGACGGGGAAGAGGTGTCAACTGAACCTGATCAGCACGTACGAGGACAGGTATCTCCTAGGCAACGCTGTGTCAGACGGTAGGAGTCCAATTTTCTTCATTTATATTTCCTCCTTTGCTTTCTTTAATTTCCTTGTATCACTTCAATTGTTCTTTTCTAAGTAGAAGATTACATACCTTTATAGGAAAATTGAACATACTTTAGTTTAAGATATGTATTTATTGTGTAGTTGTATACTATTGGACTTTTGCGAGAAGCACTGACTTTTACAGTCGACGACTTACTTTGACATTTAAACCTGCCTTATGTACGGAGGTACGGAATTAATAAATGATAAGAAAACCTTAATAGTGGTTATAGATATTTTGTTTGGAGCACTTACATGATTAACTGGTATGCAATCAACGCAAGAGATGATTGGAGGCATAATTACATAGCTTAAATTATTTATTCGTAAGGATTATTATCTCCTTTCAATCTCATTTTCTGAAGGAATCAAATAAGGAAGAAAAACATTCCGGAAGGAAAACTAAGCAAGAGTTGGTCAATGTGGGAAGGGAGGGGGTTGAGGATAGGGTGGTTGCCGTTCCCTTCCTAGACAACGTAATGTGTGCTTTGAAATGGTCCATTATTATCGTTTAATTAACTATTAAGCTTAATTTTTATATCGCAAAAGAGCTTCCATAAACTGTCCTAGTGTAAAAGTAGGCCGTCGATTGTAAAAGTCAGCGCCTCTCGCAAAAGTCCATCATACGCATTTTTTGCAATTTCGAAGGACACTTCGTGCATTTTTGCATAACATATCTTAGTACATTGTTGTTTTGTTGACTTGTGTACATGTTTTTTCACTGTACATGTAGCTGTATAGTACATCATTTTGTATTTGTATCATCGTACAGCCGTGTACATCATTTGTACATTGTGTATTTTTGTTCTGAACATTAATGTACAATCATTTTGTACCGTGGTAGGTATGTTGTACGCTCAGCAGACTGCGGTACCGGTATACCTGCCTGACTTGAGAGTGTCAATAGCGGTAGGAATAGAGGGATTCTCCAATGACCAATGGGTGACCAGTCTCCAAAACATGGAACAAAAAGTCATGCAGAACGTAAAATTCCACACAGACTTTGGAAATCCCAGTATGTTTTACGTCACATCCTTACGTACATTTACAGATGCTTGCTTAAATAAAAAAAAAAGTTTATTCCAAATATTGAGTGCAACTTGAATAAAAAGACTCGTTAACTTTAGGCATATTTTAATAAGGAAATGTTCTAATCAATAGCAAATTCCTTTTTAACATACATTCATATTGACAGATGTTGCTGTGTATTCACAAGAGTCGGCCACACAGAATGACTATTCTGATTTTACTTACCGAACTCCGGCTGAATATTACAACATGGACGATATCCTCCGACAAAAGTTTTCCCATCGGCCCTCTAAGCTCGTCAATTACATTGAACAAGTACCTGATACATACGATTTCATTCCTGCTGACGCAGTGAGCAGAGTGCCTCCGCCTACGGCGCCTAAGCCGATAACCGACAAAAAAGCCCAGCCTGTAAAACCTTTGACCCCGCCCCCGGCTCCGACAGTGCCACAAAGACCAGCAGTTTTTCGAAGACCAGAACAGAGTGAAACTGTGCAGGACTTTCCACCCAAACCTTGTAGAGTATCACGCGCGCCTAATGTAGAGGAACTGAAGATCGCCGACTTGGGAGAGTGGATGAAGGAACTCAAACTAGATAAATACATTAATACCTTTGCTGAGCAAGGAATAGATGGCGTCCTGCTGAAGGAAATGACAAGGGAGGATTTACGGAACGATTTTGGAATGTCAACCATTGAGGCCATCAAGTTATCCAAATTTGCTCAGACAGGACATGTCCCAAGCTAGTATCCGCCATCTTAATATATCCTGACATGTCTTAGCCATTAGCAAAGCGCTGAACTGGCCGTGGGGTGTGCTTTTGCGATCAGTCTTTTGAAGTTATATATTTATGAAAAAAAATGAAAAGGCTTCGTTGTTGTAATCGGAGATTCCTTAATATCCATTTTACCAGCAAACAAAGAGAAAAAAATGTAAGAAGAAATCGTTGAAATATATTCAGCGGTTCTTAAAAAAATATTTGAATTTTAAGTAGTTAGTGCGCATCCAATTCTAACACCGTTAAGGTACTTGATACATTTATAATGACATTGTTATTATTGTATGTCAATACTTGTAAGTTTGGGAGAGAAAAAGGTGGTTGTATAACGTATACATACATTTTCGATTGAATGAATGTCTTGCAAATTGTTCAAGCTACGTTAATGATAATCATGTCTTATTTTTAAATTGAAATGTGCTAATACTGCCTTGTCTTATAAGATTCTTACTGTATAATAGAACGCCTATTTCCAGGGCTATTTGTATTCAGTAACTGTACATGTAACTTATGATAAGATTTTAATGAATAGAAAGCTTTTGGATTTGTGCCAATTTCATCAATAAATTTGTTTGCACCTCGTCTTTTAAAAGAAAGACTTGCATTGTGTAATGAGAGAGAGAGAGAGAGAGAGAGAGAGAGAGAGAGAGAGAGAATCATTTGTTTATTATTGTAAAAAGGAGAAATTAAATGCTTTTTCATGAGTCCTTCGTAGAAAAGTCTTTTTAAAGTTTCCTTCTCTTGATATAAATGGGAGGGTTGCCTCAGAAAGACCTGAAATTTTAATATGTTTTATTAATTTATTGACCAAATCATTTAATTTTCTTTTGCATGATGATGTGAAATTTTTTCGTGATATTATTATAGTCACATGATGTTGTCAATGTCTACATCAGTAAAGCGTTAAATGATTATATGTGCATGTGTAGCCGCATGGTTCCTTGCCAATGTCAAACTCGGGTTACATCCGTTAAACACCGCGCGCGAATTACTTTGATCTTACTTCCTCTATGTTCTACCAGAGTTATCCCACTTTGGCTCTGTATGCAATCAGAGATCTGCCAGTCGTGAAGAGTTTTGAGAGCTGACTCATAGAGAAGAAAGATAAATCACATGTCAGTTTAAAACGAAGGGAGGACGATCTCTTAATAATACTGTTTTTAATGGATCTGTAATTGTAGGTATTTGTTGACTTGCTCAGATAAACCAAAAACAATGTCATGGCTATGCAGCAATTTTTGCTGCAAATGTTATTAGAAGACATGAAATTTTTTAATGTTTTTCAAACAGCCTTTCTTAACAATTTTGTGTGAAATGTTCCGTTTTATTTTGCCTTCGAACAGAGCATCTTCTGAAGAATTAATTTAAAATAACTTTGATATTCAAGATTATTAGAAATTAATTGGAAATCATAATATATTTACCAATGTAGTCAAATGATTTGCATTGTATGAGATTCCAGGCCTTTTGAAGAAATCACACTTTTACTGACTTGGAAAGATTTGTTTTAACCTCGTTCTTTCCTATTCTTGCAGTTTATACTCCTCAATTGCAATGGCTTGAAATGGTAGTTTAATTTAGTTTTTCCTGTATCTTTTTTATACCGTTTGAATGAACACATTGGTTAAAATTTGAATCGCTTTGTATATCAGGGGCAGAGCAATCAGCAGTTGTATATAGGAGAGCTAAAGAAGATTGCTCTGAATATATTCTAAGTTTTATTCAGTCCAAACAAGAAGATACGGGCTAAATAAATATTTAAACTATAGAAATAAGTCGATAGGACATGGTGCTCAGACTAAGTAATGAAACTTACATCCTATATTGAGGTTGCGCCGCCTCGTCATAAGTTGCATACAAAACATTAGCTATTAAAAAAACAAATTACATTTTATTCTGTAGATAGAAACATAATGCTAACTAAATATGAAAAAAAAAATCATTGATATACCTCAAGCGGTTTTAATTTCATGGCGCTAGCCCACGATCTTTATGATAAACCCTCGAATAAGATATATCGATGACGTTTTCTCAGTTAAAAAATATTACTTTCATTCATAGAGTAGACGACTCGTAGATAAAATAAAACAAAGGGCTCAGTGGGTATGACCGATCGACAAGGGTTGCTTACTCCTCCTGAACGCTTGATCCCACCTTTGATTTCTTTCAGGGTCAGTGTTTGTTCTCTCGTCATTTGCGCTGTTTAATTTGCATTTAATTAAGCGTGATTATTGCTTGTTACCTTCATATTTCATAAAAGACACCACATAGTTTGCAACATTAATTTTATATTCTGATGTTTTTGCTGAATATAGGGTTAAGTTAGGGTTAGGTAATATTCCACTTTCACCTACTTTCAGAAGCACTGTTTGCCGCTGTCTTATCCATGACGGGGCATAAAAGGAATTAATGGAGCTGTAAGAACGATATTGAGTACTGTTGATAAATCAATCAAAATCATAAAACGTTTTTTAAGATACTGCCTTTTGACCATCCAGTATTATAATTTTAGTATTCTTAAAACATATGATGGTTTTTCATTTTGTCCGTTACACTAGAGAAGTTAGTGTTATGTTTCTTTTCCTCTCTCGTACTTGGTTTTGATCAGTGATCTGACAAGAAACAGTAACCTAGTTTGGATAAAGCTTGTTTTTTTATGCAAGTGAAATTGTAATGTACGTCCTGCATATGATTTACGTAAACCCCAAAATTACTACAAAACAGAACTACATGTATATGCCGAACATATTATTCATAACTATATGTTGAATTTTTAGCACAATTATAAACTGGTGATTTTTTTTTAAGAAACGTCCAATATAAGTTTCAAACGTAAGCTGGATAAACTTTTATGTTATAACATAAACTAAATAAATAATTAATTATTTTTTTAATTGAGAATGTAAAAGGTGAAGATAACGAACAGTGATCAACCTCATAGATCGAGTAAAGAATAGGAAAAACACGGAGCCTTAGAAATACCAGAGGTGGGATCAGGTACCTAGGAGGAGTAAGTATCCCCTGTTGACCGGTTACACCCGCCTTGAGCACAATGTATTGATCAAAAATTAACTGAATGTTGAGTTGAAAGGTTTGATTTTTTTTTCTTTCTTTTTTTTTTAATTGTGTTCGGAACCCAGTTTTCGATTTTTCTCACCCCCTTTTGAAAGCTCCAAACACTTTGCTTCGATAAGATAACTCTGCAGACAAATCGAATTTTGCCGATATGTTATGCGTTCGTCATAATCTATGTGTGTCGTAGTTAAAGCACTTCCTTTTGATAATTTAATTGTAGTAAAGTGTGTGCCAGCGTGATTGAAAATAATAGGTTGGTATGTTGTCTGAAACGTTGTAGTGTGACAGGGCTCTTACCAACACACAACATTTGATAGTCTGGGCAACAATCGCCGAAACGGGCGCATGGGTTGTCGCTGAATATAGAATCGAATTTTAACCGACGTTTCATACCAATTGTTAGACAAGTTTTTAGCTCACCTGAGCTGAAAGCTCAAGTGGGCTTTTCTGATCACATTTTGCGTGTAGTCCGTCTGTCTGTCCGTCCGTCTGTAAACTTTTCACATTTTCGCCTTCTTCTCCAGAACCACTTCTTCTCCAGAGCCAATTTCAACCAAACTTGCCACAAAGCATCCTTGGGTGAAGGGGGTTCAAGTTTGTTCAAATGAAGGGCCAGAATTGAGAATTGGTGGAAATTTGGTGTCATCTTTTAAAAATCTTCTTCTCAAGAACCATTGAGCCAGAAAAGTTTAAACTTATGCGAAACCTTCATTACATAGTGTAGATTCAAGTTTGTTCAAATCATGACCCCCAGGGGTAAGGTGGGGCCACAATGGGGGATTAAACTTTTACATAGGAATCAATAGGGAAAATCTTTAAAAATCTTCTTCTCAATAACATCAAAGCCATGATTGGTCATATTTATATGGAAGCATCCTCAGGTAGTGTTGATTCAAGTTTGTTCAAATCATGACCCAAGGGGTAGGGTGGGGCCACAATGGGGGATCAAACTTTTACATAGGAATCAATAGGAAAAAAATCTTTAAAAATCTTCTTCTCAAGAACAACAAAGCCACAATTAGTCATATTGATATGGAATCATCCTCAAGTAGTGACCGTTCACGGTAGCTCAGTCGGTAGAGCGCTCGCTCCGTGATCGGGAGGTCGTGAGTTCGAATCTCGGCCGCGACAGACCTAAGTCGATAAAAAATAGGTAGCAACTGTTCCTTCGCCATGCGCTCGGCTCTTTGAAGTGAAAGTTGCGGGTCCTTCGGATGAAACCTTAAAAACCGAGGCCCCGTGTCACGGCAGGCCTTGGCACGATAAAGATTCCTCACTGCTCAATGGCCCTGAGTGCCGAGTATAGGTCAAAATTTGAAGCCCTTCACCGGTATATGGTGACGTCTCTCTATATGAGTGAAAAATTCTCGAATGGGACGTAAAACAATATACAATCAATCAATCCTCAAGTAGTGTAGATTCAAGTTTGTTCAAATCATGACCCCAGGGGGTAGGGTGGGTCCACAATGGGGGATCAAATTTTTACATAGGAATATATAGGAAAATTCTTTAAAAATCTTCTTCTCAAGAACAACAAAGCCACAATTAGTCATATTGATATAGAATCATCCTCGGGTAGTGTAGATTCAAGTTTGTTCAAATCATGACCCCCTGGGGGTAGGGTGGGGCCAGAATGGGGGATCAAACTTTTACATAGAAATATATAGGAAAAATCTTTGAAAATCTTCTTCTCAAGAACAACAAAGCCACAATTAGTCATATTGATATGAAATCATCCTCAAGTAGTGTAGATTCAATTTTGGTCAAATCATTACCCCTGGGGATTAGGTTGGGGTACAATGGGGGGGGGGTCTAAGTTTTACATAGGAATATATAGGAAAAATCTTTAAAAATCGTTTCAAGAAGAGGAAAGCCATGATTAGTCATATTGATATGGAAGCATCCCCAAGTATTGTAGATTCAAGTTTGTTCAAGGCATCCTTTAGTAGTAGAGTGGGGCCATAATGGGGGATCAACGTTTTACAAAAGAACATATATAAGAAATATCTTTAAAAATCTTCTTCAATCTCAAGAACAAAGCCACGTTTAGTCATATTGATATGGAAGCATCATCAGGTAGTGCACATTCAAGTTTGTTCAAATGATGACCCCCCCCCCCCCCCCGGTTGGGTGTTAGACATCTTTAAAATTCCTTTTTAAAGAATAGCAAAACCATGATTAGTTATATGAATATAGAAGCATCCTCAGAAGGTTTATATTCAATTTCATTCAAAACATGGCACCTGGGGGTAGGTATGCCTAGAACAGGCGATCAAAGCTTTACATATGAATAAATAGGAGAAATCTGCTGACGAAGAACAGCAGGGCCATATTGACTCAGGTGAGTGTTGTGGCCCATGGGCCTCTTGTTTATATATATATTAATTTTGACTACATATTTCTCCGTGTACCTGATCAATACAGAGGGCTTATGGCATAGATGTGACCGGTTGACATGGGATGCTAACACCTTCTTGGCACCTGATCCTACCTCTCTGCTGTTTCCAGGTTCCACGCTTTTGATTTGTATTGTCTACAGGATTTATGAAACTGATTACTGTTTTTATCTTCATCTTTTTCATTAATTTATCAGCAAATGTTAAATGATCACACTGAATGCTGAGACTGCTAAAGTCGATCGATCAATCGAGAGAGTGAGAGAGAGAGAGAGAGAGAGAAGGGGGGACTTGTTCGAAACATGAATGTGGGTTGCGTATATTGGAAATATGAATATACTGAAACTCATGTAATTGTCAAGGTCCATGGGTCAATTATTCTTTGTGATCTACAAACAGAAAAAAAATCCGTTTTGAACGGCGAAAAAAATTTTGAAGAAAAGAAAATCATCTTTAGAAAGGACATTTTCAAACAGTTGATACTACCTGAAATACGTTTCGACGATCGAATTTATGACAATTTACGCAATATGATAATAAATAAGGTCAGACACTTGTCACGAGCAGGGATACTTGATTTCAAGTCAAGATTTATGGAGGAAAGTGAAGTATCCTACGTTATTGACATCCCTGAGACAGAGGCATATGTTCCCATATTAATAAAGCACATGCATATACCATGAAAACAAAACGATCAAATTCAGTTTGTGAAAAATCAAGACGTTACAGGAACAGTTGAAACTTCAACTTTTAACCCATTAATATGAACAAAATTAATTGTTAATCTATTTACATTTGTTGTATTTATTACTGAGAGCGAGCATACTTGATGAAGAATGATAATATAGGTTGATGTGTTCAAAACAATAAAACAACAAATATAGATCATTAAACTTATGATCGATAAAGTTTTTATTTCATCTTACTGTAAGCTAACTGTTTTATCGCTACTAGCTCAAGCTCAACCCAGTCGATTAAATTTTAAGTTTACAAATATCAACTTGCTCACTTTATCACCAGTAAAAGTACAAAGATTTGCTGATTGGAATAAAAGTTTTCCTGTTCTCCTGGACACGCCTCCCTAGTTATTGCCTCACCTCTGTAAATAAGACCGTCAGACAGGTGCCAGTTTTCTCTGTGTTCTCTCTCATCATGTGGAGAGTGTTAGTCCTCGTCATTCTGACTCCGTGTGTGCTGGCAGGTAAATCAAATTTCAGTTTAAACTTCATCAATTACATGATTTATGGGCACAGGTATTTTAAGCTTAATGAAATGATTTCTTACGAAATTTAATGAAGATCTTTGTTAAAAAGCTTTTTGTTGTATGTTTCATAGAATATTAATTTCACAATACCAGATAACAAGTTGAACATCAATAGGACATAGATTAAATTATGAAATAATTTCATGATGTGATCACTAATGGGGATTTTTTATCCTTTGTTCTGCGTTTGTTAAATTTTCTTTACGTCATTTCTAGATAAATAAAGAGAATGACGTTTTTATCTTTCCCGTAAAACAGAAAACCACAACACTTAATACTCATACAACCTTGTAAGACCTTGATCACAGAAGAAGAACTAATCATAATTTCCGTTTTGAAGTTTTTGGACTTGAAGATCTGATAAATCTAACCAAATTCTTATTTTTTAAGCGCTTATGTGAAAAATATTTGGTCATACCTTTAAGATCTTTTGAAGCCCAATACATTGCTCATATGTACAGCTTGTAGATTTCTCTTATACACATGTATTTATTTCATTGAAACATACAAAAATTAGCAAACTGTCCAGGATTTATTTGAATAAAGCTTAACTGATTATTTGGAAAAAATTAAGAAATATAAAAAAAAACAACTTGCAAACAAGTTTCCGATCACATTTCCTGGAGGAAGATTTCTGTGAAGCTTACAGGAAGAGAAATGGATATTTTAGCTCAAAGTTCAGAAGTCTATACATGTAACTAAAATTTCCATAATTTCCTATAATTAACTATAGTTAACTATAGTAAATGCTTTGATCCTCTGATTTACCATAAAACCCTTCTTTTTTATATAGTTCTTTTTTTTTAGATTTAGGGTCTTAAAATCTGTTTAATTACACACCAATGGTGTAAATTTAGAAATAATATGTGAATTTATCTAACAAGAAATGTATAAAAGACGGAGAAAATTTATTAATATAGATCTCAGTTCTAAGCTTTGCGACATTAAAACGCATGTAAAATTCAAAGATAAGCCATTCTTGATTGAATTTAAAGTTGCATACAGCTAATTTTGGATCAAATTTAAATTCCAACCACATTTATTTGTTTTCTGTATATACAAGTATATAATACATTCAAAGTATATAATACATTGAATGAAAATTGGAGGCAGACTGAGCCGTTTTTGAGCCCTCTCCCAACTGCATTCAATTTTTTTGGCCTCTCAGATATTTTGGAAGGCTGCCCCCTCCCACTTTGGAAACCATTCTTAGGGGCATGAAATTATAGGGGACGGCATTTAACTGTTTTCTGTGAAATGACTTTCTTTTGCCGTTGTCCTTCAAGCACTTGTACAATTTTCTGTTTCCGGAATTATAGTTTACATTAATGAATGCAGATTGTCATGATCATTACTATTTTCCTTTTAATTTAGATACCTGCTCAGGTCGTTGTGGGGCGGGTCATGACCCCAGTAAGACGTGTCAATGTAACACTCACTGTGTAACCTATGGAGATTGCTGCGCTGACTATCACACCCTCTGTACACAACGTAAGTTTAATTCCCCGTATCTTGACAGATACACACCTTTCTTAATAATTATTGGTAATTGAGATCAAATAGATATTTTATTGTGAGCAACATCGCTAAACTTTTAAATGAGTAATAAAGTAATATCATAAAACTATGTTAATATACATATCACTGAAAAGGTTATCGCATTTTATTACATTTTCAACAGTGAAATACTGTGATTTATTTATTGAATAAAAGTGATATTCTCTCACAGTGTGAAAGAATACCAAAAATGATATTCTCTCACAGTGTGAAAGGATATCAAAGTAGGTAAAAAATAATTTCTGGCCTGTCATAAGATAGACTGAGATAGTAACTAAGTATCTTGATAGAGCTAAAACTGCAAATGTTGCTAAAATCCATGCTATGTAATGTTTTCAGTCTGACACACAACTTCTAAGCTATGACGTCTCAACCGCTCAACTATGACGTCAAGCCTATGACACTGTGTTATTAAGAAAAGACAGAGGCAAAGGGAAAATCAAAGAAAACGTAATAAACAGAAAATTCAATATTTTGTAGATGAATATGGAATTTATTTCACTCGTGAGGCAGGATTTTTTGATATTTTCACTCGTGCTTCGCACTCGTGAAAATATAAAAAAATCATGTCCCACTTGTGAAATAAATTCCATATTCATCTACAAAACATTGAATATCCTCTATATATTACAATACCCTCTTTTTCAGAGACTTGTACCGGAAGATGTAATGCCGCCCTAGACAACAGCAAACCCTGTCAATGTAACAGCGCGTGCGTCAATTTCGGTGATTGTTGCCCGGACTATCAAACGTTGTGTGTTGGTAAGCTCTGTCAGTGTTATCTAGTTCACTTTGATACAGGAAAAAAATTGTCCCCCTTTGCAAAGAAATGCTACAAATTGGGAGACAACCAATTTGTTATAAACGCTAAATAAGCGGTCTCTTTGATTATTAAGATAAAAGATGTAAACTACCAATTTTCAACATTATTCAAGCTCATAGTCCATTTAAACAATACAAATCGGGAGCAGAGCAAACACAGATCTCAAAAAAAAAAAAAAAAAAAAAAAAAAAAAAAAACATCAGTGGCGGGATCAGGTCCCATGGAGGAGTAAGCAACCCACTAAATATGTTCGGATGCCATGATCTTAAGGATGACTTTTACTCAGAGGACAAAAAATTTCCACGAATAAGAATGAAATACCACCTATTACACATTGTAGAATCATGATTTTAGTGATATTATTCACTTTCAAATAACTAGGTCAATGATATTATTATTTTATTGAAATCATACGAATTAAATTTTAACATTGATATTCATTCAATACATTGTTATTTTGTCCATTTACAATGTAGACGAATTTTTTGGTTTTAAGATATTGTACTTTATACATGTAGCAATCCGTTTCTTTCAACTAAAACCCTAAGTAAACGTCATCCTTAAATGACACTCGGCACACCTCGGCCAATTCGTACCTCATCTAACCTCGGCTGTATCATGCAAACCTCCATTGAACCGGAGCTACTTTATAAGCAATATGGCAGCGCCCTACATTTACACGTGCACAGTGTGCTGAATTCGATTCTTTAACAAACATGTGATTATGTTAAGATACCAAGTCCTTGTTTCCTGGTAAGTGTTACTCTAAGTGTTACCTAAATGCTTTTGAAAAATTTCAACGTATATCAGATGCATGTTTATTATCGTTTTCAAAGCGTTACGTTTTCCCTAAGCGGTAAACAGGCAGCCTTATCACAAATGTTAAGTGGAGACTCATATCAAGTTTCCTCGTACAGCCGAGGTTTGATGAAGGTGACGGAATCAGCCGAGGCTTGCCGAATGCCTTAAATGAGTCGTATATTTTTCATATCCAATACACTTGACAAAGTTAGTAAATGTATATGGTTTGTTTTATCGAAATGATACTGATGTTCATAAAAGACTTAGACTGTTAAATAATACATTATAATGGAAGAAAAAGTGAGCAGCAGCAAACTGAAAATAAAAAATTATTCACATGTCTTACTTTCCAATGGATAGCTTTTTTAGACTTAGCAAGAATCAGTCTCGAGCTTTAGAGGCACAGTATAACTATATAGCAAATTTTATTTAACTACTTTATGAGACTCATTTTTCATTCAGATGGAGGCACTCCAGATATAACCTGTGACATCAGCTGCCTTGCCAACCAACTGTGGGACAATGACGTCAACAGAGTTCAAGTTTGGGAGTACGAGGTCAACCACCAGGGGCAGACAACTACATCCAGTACATCAGACGAAGCCGCTCAAAAGTAAGGATATCTACCTAACATTGTGTAAAGTCAAAGGTATCGATATCTAAATAACATTGTGATAAGTCAGAGGTGGATATCTAAATAACATTGTAAAAAGTAAACAATATGGATATCTAAATAACATTGTAAGAAATCAGAAATATCGATATCTAAATAACATTGTGATAAGTCAGAAGTGGATATCTAAATAACATTGTAAAAAGTAAACAATATGGATATCTAAGTAACACTGTGAGAGGTAAGATAAATAACATTATAAAGAGTCAGAAGTATGAATATCTAAAAAAAATATTGTAAGAAGTCAATAATATAACAGAAGTAAAATAAAATTGCACAAAACATGGTGGGTAAAAACTATATTGCATACTATAATAGTACAGTTCTCTTTTCTGCTTGAACTTTCAGTAAGGCGTGACATTCTCGGCTCTATATAATAAGCGTCTCTCAAATAATGACCTAGATTTTCATTGGTTGCAAGATTAGCTCATCAATACTGAAATTTACACAGCTCTCATTCACGGGTGAAATACACATGTGATGAAAATGGATCAGACTTCAACGAGTGACGCAAGGGACCAATGACATCGTTTCTTACAGTAAAGAGGTGTGGCTTATGTCATCTCCTCGTTTGTCAACACCAATGTAAAGTTGCTAATGTTATTAATTTCTTAACCAATGAGAATCTGATTCACCATTGAAAAGAAGAGAATGTCACGCCTTACTGAAGTTCAAGCAGAAAAGAGAATTGTTCTATAATTAGACAGATTCTAACACAATAATGTTAATTCTCAATATTAAAGGGTTTTTATCACGTCTCAAAATTTTTTTGATATGACAGAGTTTACATGTTATTAAAATCATATATTTAAAAATCTTTGCTAGAAAATTAATATTGTTGATGTTTCAGCGATTCAAAGTTTGAAATTCTCAATATGCATATTTTGATCGCCAATGCTACGCGCCATTGCTCTGACGTCCTAGGTGTCAATCCTGGTCAAGCAAAGTACTTAATGTGTATACAAACGGCTCATTTGTTGTGTCTATTAAACCTGTTAGTAAATAAATAAGTGATATTTGGATAAATGACAGCTAGTAAGGTATAATTTGTGGCTTTAGGGTGCAAAAGTGTGCACAAGAAAGGATTTGGGAAGACTTTTTTCACATTTCTTGGACTTGGTCGAGAAGTGAAAGGGGGTCCTTTTTTCCTGCAAACGCGAGCTCTTTGTTCCCATTCAGAACAATCGTCTATGCCCGATCACGATTTTTTCTGAACTATAAAATATTTTAAGGACATGGTACCTTTTTAAAACGGCAAAAAACACTCAACACACATTTTTAAAGTCGCATGCTAGAAGGAATGTTGTGAACTTCGTAATGGCGTATGGCGCCATTGAACACTGTTGAAGAAATGTCATTTCTAGTACATGATATTCACTGGAACAGATCGAAGATATACAAGATTTATTTATATATTGTACAGTTTATTAAAGTAATGAAGAAGTTAAATTTAAAATTCTCATATCCATAAATATTTACAAATTCCAACTTTAGTTATTCGTTCGATTTAGTCGGAAGTCCCGAGTTGTCAACGGCATCGTCTTCGGTGCCCTCTCCTATTGTCGGCATACTTTATTGGTTATTTCTCTCTGCTAGACGATAATACATAAAATATTGACCGTCCATTACCAAAAGAATATCGGCGATGTCAAAATTTCCACCGACATTATTGTGAAGTGTATTTATTGAAAGTCAAAATCTATTTCTGTTCCGTTGCGGAAAATTTTTAGGCATTTGATTTTGGTGTTTATGTTCAACATACTTCTTCCGCTCCACGAGCTTTTCATGTTGTGAATTTTATCGATGGTATTTCACAGACCCCACAGTGTATGTAATTTTGTTATTTCATTTTCATCTTTATATACGGTAAGTGATAAATAGTGCATTTCTTTCAATATCTATGATGTATTCAATTTATGCATTTAAATATTTTGGTCATGAATGAATTTATTACTCCCTGACCTATGATACGTTTTTGCATGTTTTACATTGTATTGTTTATATTTTGTTGTAGCATCTACGGTTTATTCCTAGAGAATAAATTAAGTTTACTAGCTGTCGTGTTCTCGACTTTTTAGGACAGCATATTAGATGACTACCGGCCGACACCAAATCAACATGAGATACCCTCCGGGGAACAGACTCATGTTCAGCCAGGCACCCTGGGATCAGAACCGACAAGGACTTCAGAAAGAGTAAAAGTTCCGACACAAAAGGCACAAGAACAGTTAAAGGAAAATGTAAATAAGTTTAGAGAAAAACTTCTTCATAAAGAGAATAGAATTAGATCAGATATTGAAGAATCTACTACATGTTCAAAAGAATTAACAATTCTGACCTCAATCCGCGATAAGATTGAGAGAAACCTTTTGGTTTATAAACAAGTGTATAATGAAAGACAGGAATTTATGAACAGACATAGTTATAGTGATAGTAAACGAATTTTGATAGACAATAGCTGTAGACTTATTAGTGAAGATACAGAATCGTGTCCGACAGAACTCAGCGAGACTATAACATGTATAAGATCTTTGGAAGAGGAGACAAACACTATTAGTGGTTACTAAGAGTGTCTTCAAGTATCAAATCACTACAGAGAGTAGAAGAAGAGAAGGTTGCCAAGCTAAGACGTCAGAAATCAAAATTACAATTTGAAGAACAATCATATGCAGCAAAATTGAGACAAGAGCAGGAATATTTAGACATGGAACTAGAATTGCTAAAACATCAAGAGGAAGTTCAGATAGCAGAAACGAGAGTGAAGTTCGAAATGGGTGATGAAGAAAGGAGTCATGTTGATCTAGGATTACCGAAAGTTTGAGGGTTTGAGAAATCTAAAACTTTTATAAAGAACTTACCTCTTAATCCTCAAGTAGAAAAGTTTGTTCCACAGTCGGATAATACTCTGCCTTCCGTGTCAACGACATGTGTTCCAGAAACTTTACAACAACCTTATACATGTAATCCACAACAAGTGCGACCAGCTATAAATCCACCACAACCCATACTGGCAGCTTATCCTAGATATCCTATGCAGCCGACATACCCACCCCAACCCCTGCCTCCTATGTATGCTCCTCATACTCCTCGGCCTATGCATCCTATGTTCTCGACATACACTCCACGACCAATGCAGCCTATGTATACACAGCCTATGCCCTCTAGTGCACAACCTGTGATATCGCAGCCTAGTTTTGAATCTGGGAATATACATTCTCAAAGTGACACTCAACCTCAACAGTTTTCAGCTGTGCCGCCAACTGTCATTCCTATAACTACTAGTGCTACTGGTAATTTCATGAACAGTTACATGATGAAGAAAGACTTGATCTCACAAAGACTTAGGAAGTATGATGATGATCCTTCATCTTATAATCTCTGGAAAGGAAGCATTAAGAGCATAGTGTCAGAAGCCACACTGAGTCCCCTTGAAGAGATAGACTTACTCTTAAGATGGTTGGAACCTGAATCAACAGTTCAAGCTACTAGAATTAGAAGAGCTAATCCTAGTGATACTGGTGCTGCACTTTAAAAGATTTGGCAAAAGTTAGATGAACGATATGGATCACCTGAACTGATCGACTCGAAGTTACGATGTGAACACATGAAAATTCCTGTCTTACAGTTACCAAAGGACAAAACATTGTTATACAGCCTCGTCGACCTCTTGGGGGAAATAGAATGTAACAAGAACAATCCTCAGTATTCACTGCTGTTGTCTTATTATGATACACCAGTCGGCATCAATCCTATTATGTCTAAACTACCAGAAAACTTACAGAACAAATGGTGTGACAGAGCCGTGAAATTTAAAATAAAACATAACATTCCATTTCCACCTTTCAAGGAATTAGTGAAATTCATTCATGAACTCAGTGTTTCCTTGAATGAACCTGGCTTTGTGTTTGATACTCCAGCTCCATACACAGGAAAGGATAAACCAAAATTTACCAAGAAACCAACCACTGTTGTATCAAAGAAAACTGATGGTTTCATAGTGGAGTCTCTAGACTCATCCACATCATTGAGATTACCTACCCTCATTAAATGCAGAAGAATTCCACAAGATATATCCGAGATACCTACCCCCGAGATCGTGGAACAGTATCCACACCTTTGTGGCATCTCATCAGAAATTCCTAAATATGATCCAGAACATCACATTGGACTTCTGATTGGACGTGATTTGACAGAAGCACACCATGTTTTTCAACAAATCATTGGACCCAAGGACAATCCATTTGCGCAGAAAACATGCTTTGGATGGGTTATAATCGGAAATGTGTGCTTGGATGGAAAGCACTTACCTATGCTGGACACTCCAACAGATTTTACCATCACAAGTTTTAAAACTTATGTATTACCTAACGGACGATCTACAATCTTTCAACCATGTGACAAGGAGTTGAAAATATTAGAGAGAGATTCGAGTCGAGATATGGATATTTTCAAGAGAAGACATGATGATAATATCATTGGTCATTCTGTGGAGGATCGTGATTTCCTAAGTCTTATGGAAAAAGAAATGAAAATTAGTGCCTGTGGAAATTGGTCGGCACCTCTTCCATTTCGTAACGACAGACCTCCCTTACCAAATAATAAACCAATGGCATTAAAGCGAGCAATGATTCTTGATTCAAGCTTAAAGAAGAATGAGAAAAAATGTCAACACTTTGTTACATTCATGGACAAAGTAATACGTAACGGTGCAGCAGAGATTGCCCCAGACTTAAAGGGTGGACGAGAGGTGTGGTATCTTCCATTGTTCGGAGTATACCACCACAAGAAAAGGGATCAGATACGCGGAGTCTTTGACTCTTCTGCAGCATTCCAAGGAGTGTCTCTTAACAGTGTTCTCCTCACAGGACCTAATTTGACAAACAATTTAGTGGGTGTTCTCCTTCGATTCAGGAAAGACGCTGTGGCAGTATCAGCAGATATTGAACAGATGTTCTACTCATTTCTTGTTAACGACGACCACAGGGACTACTTGCGATTTCTCTGGTATAGGGATAATGAACCTAACAAGGAACTCGTTTACTCATGAAAAATGATTTCTATGTAGACGATGCGTTGACTTCTTTACCAACTGCTTCACAAGCAGTCGATTTGTTGAAAAGAACTCAGACTGTACTTAGGAACAATGGCAATATTAAGTTACACAAAATTGCGTCAAACCATAAAGATGTGATGTCGGCTTTCTCCAAGGATGACCTAAGCAAAGAAATATAACTGCTAGATTTAGAAAAGGATTCGTTATCTGTACATCAGAGCTTAGGTTTGTCATGGGATTTATCTACAGACAGTTTTGTGTTTCATGTGGATTTTGCCAAGAAACCTAACACAAGACGTGGTTACTTGTCCATGCTTCACAGCATTTATGATCCTTTGGGTTTCACTGGACCCCTTGTGATCCAAGGAAAGATTACGCAGCTATGTTAAAGCTTCCCGAAGCTTTAAAATGTGCTCAAAACATAATATGTCATTGCGAGGTCGGTTTTGATTTTAATTTATAAATATTGAATTTTAGTACTTCCAATGTATATAGAGGGTTTCCTCGGCTATATATTAACATATTTGTTATGATATCACATGACTTTGTTGATCACGTGACGGTCATTTATATTTTTTTGAAGTGTTTCATATAAATTGCTTCGGCGCAGCTGATTAACACAATAATTATTAACATTTTGTAATATAAATAAACTCATCGTATCCTTGTGTATCCGAAATGTGCTTGGGAAAGCCATAGTATTACTTAGATACAAAATATTTACTCAGAAATTCAACTTACCTACAAATTTGAGGGTATTTTCCACACAATATCGTAATCTGTATTAAAACAAACCCAACACACATTTTTTCCCAAGCAAGATTCAGTTAGAAAACAACCTCTTCTTACAGATTTCCATAAAAATTCTCAGATTAATCCTCATTAATCACCTGCGCCAGACTCTTTTATACACACAAAATAAATTCTACCTCCAACCACGGGTATAGAACAGTACATTTCAAAAGTATATTTTACATAAGCATTTTGAACATGCTTAATTTAAATCAAGGGTAGGTAAGCGGTGTATTTTTAAAATATTCGGACATTTAAGGCTTAAAAACCCTTTAACAACCCGTGAATTTTGCAGTTTGAAATAAAGTGTAAAGTTCATGACACTCTCCCCGTCATAACACCTCAAGTTTGCAGTGACTTGACGTATTTTCCATTATGACGTCATATTTTGGTAGTTAGAGATGTGAAGGCACAGAGTGTACTGTGATATTTTACGGGAAGCCTTAACCTATCTGCGTATTCTTCGTGAAATTACAGCACTGTATGACTGGGATGATGAGATTGACCCCTCATGTGTTTGTCATTGGGAATCATAGAAGGATCGTTGTACATCACTACAGCAAGTGACTGTTCCTCGCACGTATTTTACCAAATCTTTGAGCCAGAGTGAAACGGTTGAACTTCATGAGTTTTGTGATGCTTCGGAACAGGCTGTTTCGGCAGTTTCCTACATGAGAATTTCAACTGGGAATAGAAGTATCTTTTGTCTTCGGCAAAGTAAAATTAGCGCCCCTTCATGGACATACCATGCCACGACTTGAACCTTGTGCAGCCTTACTAGCAGTAGATGTAGCGGAAATTGTCACATGCACCTAAGTATCAAATTTACAACCACAAAGTTTTATTCTGACAGTATGATTGTACATGGCTACATCAACAACCAAACTAGACGTTTCTACAATTATGTGCCAATCATGTTGAGCGTATTCTACGAACATCTAATCCCTCTCAGTGGAATTATGTGAAATCTACAGAGAACCCACCAGATCTAGGAACACGAGGATTAAACTCAGCTCAAAATTTATACCAGGAGTGGTTGAGAGGACCAGAATTCCTCCATTTCAATACAGAAACTGTCAACGAATCCTTTCCTCTCATTAACCCGGAACACGACAAAGAAATTTGTGTCAGTGCTAAAAGGACAGTGGTTAAGGACTTTAACCTTACCAAGAACTTTGAAAATTTTTCTAGCTGGGACTCTTTAGTTAGTGCACTTATGGTGCTCAAGACTTTCATTAGAAAGAAAAAACAAGTTGTGTCAGATCCTGTTACAATCAGACGAGACAGTGAATCAGTGGATAAGTAGTACCGGTAATTATTTTCATACGCCAAAGGGCTGAAGAATCAACGTGCAAAGAATATGAGGAAATTTGGAGAAATTTTATGTACCGTAAGAATTTTTTGGTAAAATTGTGGACATGTAGACAGGTGGACAGGTTGACAGGTCGACAGGATGACAAGTCGACGGGTTGACAGATTGTTTGGTTGACAGGTCGACGGGTTGACAGGTAGTCAGGTCGACAGGTTGACAGGTCATAGGACTTAAAGGAAAAAAAATGTCACTCACGAGGTACTTAGTACGTAGATGGCCGAAGTGACAGCCATAATTAATTCAAGACCAATTACTACTATATCTGACGATCCTGAGGTACCATTTGTGTTGAGTCCAGCAATGCTTCTGAATCAGAAGATGTACGGTCACTATTCTAAGTGTATGGATGTTGACATACGTGATATATACAAAGAACAATGGAAGCAAGTACAAGTCCTATCTGACTTATTCTGGCAACAGTGGAAAACCTGTTACCTTCAGAACTTATAATCCCGTCGCAAGTGGATATCTGAAAGAACAAACTTGAAGGTTGGAGATGTAGTAGTCATCAAGGATCGTGAGTCAGCTAGATGTCAGTGGTCTATTAGACTTGTGGAAGAAGTCTTCCCTAGTGCAGATGGACTCGTGCGGAAGGCTTCTGTGCGTGTTATGATTAATGAAAAACCGTGTACATATACAAGACCAATTAGTGAACTTATTCGACTCATAGATTAACAGTTTTATGTCAGTTAAACTGCCAATTTGAAGTGAGTTATTAACTGTTAAATTTTATTATTTGACCTTGAAAATCAATTTGTGTATTGCAATGAAATTTTATGTGTAGGATCCTGGTCACTGCACCATATTTTCTTATATTTTGTACTGTAATAAGTGTATGAATCGGAATGTGTTTGTTAAATTTGATATTATTATGTAGTAATATTGTTATAATAATACCAATATTAGGCAGGGAGTGTTCCGTTGCGGAAAATTTTTAGGTATTTGGTTTTGGTGTTTATGTTCAACATATTTCTTCCGCTCCACGAGCTTTTCATGTGAATTTTATCGATGGTGTTTTACAGACCCCACAATGTATGTATTTTTGTTATTTCATTTTCATCTTTATATAAGTGATAAATAGTGCATTTCTTTTAATATCTATGATGTATTCAATTTATGCATTTAAATATTTTGGTCATGAATGAATTTATTGCTTATTGGTAGTGTACTCCCTGACTTATGATACGATTTTGCATGTGCTACATTGTATTGTTTATATTTTGTTGTAGAATCTACGGTTTATTCTTAGAGAATAAACTAAGTTTACTAGCTGTCGTGTTCTCGACTTTTTGGGACAGCATAATTTCGTATATTTTTTCTTAGGATAAGCTTTACGAGTTCTAATTGACCATTGACACCTATGACGTTTCAGTACCACGTGACCCCTATCTAATTAGTGGAGATTTTTACTTCGAGAACTCTATATTACGGGCGTTTTATCGCCTAATTATGACTGTTTTCTAAATTATTTCAAAGTTAAATGATAATTATATTTTTCCAGAATATAATAGTGTTTCATTTTTTAAAAAAATAGATACGTGATAAAAACCCTTTAAGCGAAGTCTTAGAATTTGTATTCTACTTACAAAAAAAATATAAACAGAATTATATTTTTTACCCATCAAATGGATTAGATTTTCGAATATTTGTTTTAGATTATTTACCTATCTTCAAGAAGAAACCGTGTTCCAGAAGCCAACGTATCGAACATTTATTGCTTTGTTGGACAACTACACACCAAGCACATCACAAACAGAGAGTCAAGGCAGTGCAGAATGGGTGGAAATTGACGCCTTCCTGGACGCTATACTAGCAACAGATATCATGAACCACCTTTACAACTTCCTCGTGGAGCATGGTATGTGTTTGTTGTGATAAACTCAACCAACATTTACTCTGTTCATGATAATTCATCCAAGTCCTGTCCAATCTTTCTTAAGAGGGTCAACTTTGCTGCATATAGAGTAACGTCATGGTGATTCTATTCTTATTTTTTTTTTTGTTTACTTTACCTTGTTTGAAGGAGGTGACCAAACATTAACATGTATAATGGACTTGCGTTAGAGTTTATTGATGTTGATTAATTTTTTTTTCGTTTTTGCAAATATTATATAAATTGTCTCTCGTTTAGTTTTAAGTTTACACAGATTATGCTTTGAAGACCATGTACGTGCTTTTGTACCATAAAAATATAAAAGTCTATAGTGCCTTAACAAGGTCACGTGACGGACGCTGCTTCCTACAGAGAAGTACTAAAGGAGCTGTGGTTTAACCTATACGCCAGATCCAGCAGCGGACCAATCAACAGCAGCGGATTTGAACACGTGATGGTTGGAGAGACTTCATCAAAAGTTTCTGGTTTTCATAACTGGATTCAGTTTTATTTAGAAGAAAAGAATTCCGCCATTAATTACCAAGGCTGGGTGTCCAGAAAGCAGGTAAGAAAGCATACGAGCTCATTTACTAAGTTTAAAAAAGATGTGTAAAAAAAGTGCTCGAATATTTCGTGAATTAATGTCAAGATCTAGTAATGGAAAGGTGTCTACAAATTTCTCATTTTTAGTAAATGAAAAGGGTGAAATTACCGAACAGTGATCGACAAAAAGACATGTTTTAGACTGTCATTTTCAATGAAAAATGAAGGAAACAGAGGTGTGGTAATCTGTAATCGGTTATCTGGTAGCTCAATCGAAATGATGGTAAGACAATACACATGGAAATTGTTCAGTTACTTTCAAATATTTATCGCTTACAAGGATGCTAAGAGATGTAACGAAAAAAACCGAGTACTCAATCAGAAATGTAAGCGAGTAACCGGTTACTAAATTCGTTCAATTTGACAATACTACTAAGAATATATGACACCTTGGGGATTCAGCTTTAGATACCTGTCACTTAGCCATATTTCCAATACATATTCACAAGAAAGGGAGATTCTTTTCTGTATTTAGATGCTTTTAATTAAATAAAACAGGTTCATTTCTGAATCAGAAAGATTTCCCGGCAAAATGGCAAGAGCTAAGCTCCACCTCCTATTTTATGGTCATCAGTGATCTGTTAGATTTCCTTCTCTAAATCTAGAGTCCCTGTAGTTTAATTACTGATAACCTCTGTGTGGCTAGTGAAGGATTCCCCAAGTGGTCACAATGATTTATTGCGTCTTTCATGAGCAGGTAGTCACAAATCAAATCAGAAGCTTTAATAACGGAACATTCACATGTGGTAGTGTTTATGTTTCATTATTGTTAAATAATTAGAAAACCATTTCATAATAACCAAGAATTTAACATGCATCATAAAGCAGTGATAAACTTCTTTTTCTTAGCCAAAAAATCTCAAAATTGTTGAAAATATCGAAAAAATACCTTTGGTGTATCCTTAAAAACCATGATGAACAATTCTTTAAACTTATTTCAGAATCTATAAAATGTCAAACAAATCAAAAATGTTAAAATAATGAAAAATATTTCATTTGATTATAGTGATACATTCTTATATGCAAGGAGGCTGGTTGTGAAGTCATCCAAGAGAAATACATGTTTCTCTTAGATTCTGTAGATCACCAAATTTTGGCGACACTTTAATTTCCGAGATAGCCATTTGGTATTTATAAGTGAGATATAATTTTCACGAACTCTGATTATTGTTCTATGGTATCTTTTGTACTACAAATAAACGCGAGAATTTAATTTTCTCAAGCAGGCTGTCTTGCGTAAGTACGAAAAATAAAGTTCTCGCGAATGAAAGTGATCTACAGTAGTTTTAAAAATGTTTCCTGTGAATTTATAGTCCAAATCGAAACATAAATTTAAATGTTAATCTTTTAAATGATAAAATGTGGAAGTATATTTCATGAAGTTAGATTCCTAGACCAATGCGCAAACTAAATCTATTCATAATTACAGGTACTTTCTATTTAGACATGGTCATAGGCGAAATACTGGGAAAGGGCGCTGAACCTCTTCGATTTGGGGCTTTTTCAGGACTCTAAGGTCTACGAATTATTTTGACCAACACAGCAAATACATTTTTAAAAGCCCAGAAATGTGCTCTAATGTGCTGCAAGGCAGTATTTTAGGCCCTCTACTATTTTTAATCTATGTCAAAGATATGGCTTCCAGTATTGATCCTGACTGCAAACTTATTTTATATGCTGATGATAGTGCAATCTTATTTTCTCATAAAAATGTAGATTTTATTTCAGAAAAACTTAGTACTGTTTTAAAACAATGTTCAAATTGGCTAGTAGATAATAAGTTATCTCTACACCTTGGGAAGACTGAATGTATTTTATTTGGATCAAGAAAGAAGCTTTCAAGTGTCCAAGATTTTCACATTGAGTGTAATGGACATACAATACATTCTATGGAAAAAGTTAAATATTTAGGAGTTTTTGTTGATCAATTTCTGAGTGGTGAATTTATTGTTGAGTCCATTGTACAAAAAGTCAACAACAGGTTGCGTTTTTTATACAGACAAGCTCGTTTTTGGATATAAGAAGTAAAATGTTATTATGTTCTGCTCTTATACAATGTCATTTAGATTATGCTTGCTGTGCATGGTATGCAGGTTTGTCAAAGAGTTTGAAAAAGAAATTACAAGTATGTCAAAACAAAATGGTAAGATTTATTCTGAATTTAACTCCTTTACATTCCATAAACTACAAAGTGCTTAGTACATTAAATTATTTAAATATAGAAGACCGGGTACGACAACTCAGATTAAACCATGTGTATAACATATATCATGGTTGTGCGCCATCCTATCTAAGCGAAAATTTTACTTTAAGGTCAGCCGTGTCTTCACGAAACACTAGAGCATCCACTAATGAAGATTTTTTTTATTCCTCACGTGAAAGCATGTCAAGCGGATACGTTTTACTATAATGGCATTAAGGACTGGAATTTTTTACCAGCTTCTATTAAATGTACTAAAGGAAAGAGTACTTTTAAGAAACAAGTTAAGAGTTTTATCTTACAAAACGGCATTTTAGAACATGAAAGTAATATGTTTCAGCATTAACTTATAAAACATATTTGATTATTTTATTGATCCAATATGTTGTCATACTTAAATTAAATTTAACGTGTAAGCAACGCAGTGCTAAAATTATAGTGCCAAAAATTGCAAAAATTGCTATAGTGCTTTAATGATGAAACATTGTATTTTTATCTTACTTAGGGTAGGTCCCCATTGGAAATGGGTTATCCTGGTATCAACTAGTCACTATCTAAAATATGGTTTCCTGAATATCTATTTATAAATCTATTTAAAATTTATGGATTCTCAAATATTGCCTTTCAAATGACTATGTATATTTATGTGTATTTGTTTTATGTATGATGACATATGATACCAAATAAATGATGATGATAATTAAACATATATTTGGAAATATCTGAAAATAACAGCATTGACCCCTACTTTGAGTTTTCTTTTTCTTTTTCAAATTTACCAATTTGACGTCAATTCGTAAGAATTTTTAAAGACTTAAAAATGGCATTTTACTACTGCAAAAGTTCAAATACGTGTTGTGCGCAAAAATGTAGTATATTTTTCTATGTCAAAATTTCTATGTATTCTAATTGAAAGATGACTGTAATAAGTACCTTGGGTAATTCAAGTTTTAAAAAAATTAGAGAAAAATACTGAAAACCGTGATTTATGTGCAGGTTCAATTTTAGTCCAGGAAGGTCATGTTAAATGTACTATAGCGCCGAAAGACGCGTATCGACCCCTGTTTTATGATTTTCAATTTAGCTTCGTGTGTAGATATTATAACATACATAACAAGACATCTTAAGACTTCAAATTGCAGGATCCAACCTCCTAAAGGCAAACATTTTTATATAATTATTTTGAGAATTTATGCAATATCCCGTTATTCTTTGCTTTGACAACGTGTAACAACCATGTATATTTTGCTTTAAAATTTTTTACATCGTCCAAGATGGGTTATGTCATATCAGATTTTCAACTTATGCACCATTTTTTTAATAAATCTGTTTTATTGAGATGACGTGAAATTCATTTAAAGTTGCATAGAAATTTATGACGATGAAATATATGGAAATAACGAACAGTATTCAAGCTAAAAAATCCATTAACTATTACAAAATAGGAGCAGAGCAAACAATGACCCCCGAAACATCAGAGGTGGGATCAGGTGCCATGGAGGAGTGAACATCCCCTGCTGACCGGACACACCCGTCGTGTGCTCCTTGTCATGATCGGGAAATAACGGAAAAATAATTCAGTGTGTGTAAATAATGGCCTAACAATTAGTATGAAAAAACGTCAGTCAGCATTTGACTCAATGATAAATTGTATTTTCTGACAAGGTCATTGTATCGATCATAAAACTTACGAAATGATGACTTTAAACGAGACTGTTGATATTCTTGTTTCATCAACTTGTTTGTCAATGATTTACCTCGTTTTAGAAATTGTACGTACGTAGAGCATGTTCTTGCGTATCGAATCAACTGAGAAGATTGCATAAAAGATTGCATAAATAAACTCAGTAGAACAAGTTACTGGGAAAGAAAATTATGCTTACATTTCTGTGCATTGTGCGTATGATTCTTGACGTCTCAAAATATGGCGCCTACTGTCTCTTTAATTGTTGATGGACACTTCTTTTCTCTTGTTTTTTTTTTTAGCCTCTCAATATTGTTGCTGCGAGATTTACCTGGAATGGTCTGTCTAAAGCCAAAGGATCGTTCTTTGTTGGTGTAAGTCCGGAGTTTGACATCGCCATCTACACAGCATGCGCACTGACCAGGCCAAATGCTATCTGTTCCTTTGCAATGGCGGGAAACTCACTTCAAATCCAGACATACGATGTAGCACATAAAACTGGCCTGCAAGTGGCAACCGCCTATCCAAATATTTAAAAAGCTTTTGTTATAAAATAATCTGAGTAATTTATTGTCTTTGGTTTCTTCAATAAAAATGTAACTCGGAAATGCACATATCTTGTGATTGGTCATCAACAAAATTACTTTGTTTGAAATCACTCTCTTCTACACGAAAGTACTCTGAAGTTGGTATTTAAAAATGCTGGAGCTCCTCATTGACAAAATTTCTATACAGGATGTTTCATAATGTATGTTACATTTTGAATTTTCAATTTGACAAACACAAGAAAAAGATACAGACAAGTGTTTTTATCAATTTGATGCATGTATCCATAAGATTCATAATGTATAATTACCAACCAAAATATTAAACACAGGACGAAATCTCAAAAATTAATGAAAATAAGCGAAAATTCTAAAGTACGCCAGTTTTGTTACGTTGAATTTCACATCGTCAAAAACCCAAATTACTTGCTCTTAATGATCTCCACTATTTCAACTACAAATGAACATTTCTTCTCGAAATTTGTATAACCCTGTCGCATATATTTGTAAGACACTCCTCATTTGAAGGTTTATGGGGTTTTTTAGAGCTCATTCAGTATCTGTAGTCTAAAATTGTAGACCCTGTTCCTAAAGAACCCCTACAGAAAAGGGCCCAAAGATTGAGACTGGCGAATACAGAAATCAAACTCCTTTCTTGGGGTATTGCATTATTGAAGTTTCTCCTTCACCACTGTTAATATCTTAGTGAGCAGTAAAGAAAGAGGCTTGGTTGAACATTTACTGGAACCCGCTATTTATCTTTGTTTGTAAGGATTTTTATGAAGTTTCAAAATATAGATATCGTAATTCAAATTCATTTTGTCTGTTGGGAATATTAAAAATATTCACGCATAAGATTTTGGACAAATTCTGCTTCATATGAATACAAAAAAGATCTGCTAATAACGGGGCGCAATTGGTACCCATGGAAATTCCAATGGATTTATTTTATTTAATTAACACTGTATTATTTACATGTTTATATTTTATGTCTTCATTTTCTCCAAATGCATATGACAAGGAGACATAGGTATCGCCGCTTGCAATAGCCAACAACGCCATCTTTCTGAAGAGCTGGTGCCATTTTAAAAAATTCTGCATACGCAACTTCTCCGTTTTCTGTAAAAATAAAAACAAATTTTATAATGAATGGATAACTCAGCCGTAATTTGCTATCGTATTTAAGTGTTTTGAATTAAATATGTTCCAGCATTTTATACTTTTTTATTTATTATCATGCATCCAATTTCTTGGAACACTTCACATTTTGATAAAGAAATGATTTACAATATGATATTAAAGCAGATAGAAATTGACATTTAGGATAATATCTAACAAAGTAAATTTGCAAATATATATATATATATATATATATATATATATATATATATATATATATATATATATATATATATATATATATATATATATATATATATATATATATATATATATATATTTAAAATTTTCTTTGCGTTATCAAGTCTTCCTTTGTTGTTGCATATTTCCTTCAAAAACTAAAACATGAATATTCAGTTTTTTTTTGATCATGTAATTGTTTTCTTGTTTCCTTTGATATGCACCTAATAATTTTAGAGCCTCATTTATCATATTTAATTGGCAGATTATTTTGATAAATTTTCATATGACTGTACAAGAATGAGAGATTGACTTGGAGGGGGTCTACATCTTCAACCCTGCAGTACATACTGTTCAAATCAAGGCGTGCAAACACTTTTTTAGGGTCATGCTTCTTGTATCCGTGAGTTGCTTTCAAGAATTCTTCACGATGAATTTTGGAATCAGAGTTCAAATCATAAGCACGAAAGTTACAAGATAGACGCACATCTTCCTCCTGAAATATGAAATGTAAAACTAACAGTGATCAGGGCCAAAAACCAATTAATACAAAATGAACATAAGAGATGCGCATCAGGTGGCATGGAGGAGAAATCATCCCCTGTCTTTCGGTCACAGAGGCCTTGAGCCCTCTGTCATGTTCGAGTGAATAGAGTAATCTGTAAATATATCTGCTAGAGAATAGGCAATAAAATAACTATTTGAAACATCAGTCAATATTCGACCTAAAGACGTTGTAAATACTAGTAGTCACTGTTACAACCATAAAAATTGCGAAACGCTGACTCAAAGGTAGTTGCTCCCCTTTGTTACATCAACTGGTTTCTAAGTAGCATTCCTTGGTTAAGAAATTGATCGTACGTTAAACATACTCTGGCGTATCGAATCAACTGGAATACATCAACACAACAGGCAGTTGATAATGATACTGAATATGTTGCTATATCAATAAGGGAAGTTGACGATATTAATTGACGTCATCATGTTGTCAAAAAGTTTAGTCGTTAGTTTTAAATCAAAGTTTATTAATATCTAAATATGAAACAAATGTGTTAATTAAAGTTTCTTTTATTTTGAGTTTAATGGGATATAACAAATCAACAAATGAAAAAAATTCGATAATGTGTGTTGATAAAACGCCGTTGATGTATTTACGTAAATGTCGCATCGAAAGCCACATCAAAGGAATTCTTCACCTTCCTTTCATGTAGAACTCCTTGAAAAAATTCTTCAAAAATACAACACAGGTCGGCTAAAATATTGACACAATTATAACCCAGAGGAATTCAAGCACGAGTTCAAGTATATTTTACATCAACTTCAGAGCACTTGCATTAAGCATCAGAATGGTTTTTATCAAAGTAATTTTGTAAATGAACAATCACAAATAAAGAAATTTTGTTATTTCCTTTTAAATTGAAGATGCAGTTGTCTCTGATGTCTAAGGCCTTGTCTTTCATTTGTGCAGAACGTTTCTATCAGACATTAAAAAATCATGTGCTAAGACTTCTCATGCTATTGCTATTGGAAAAGTTTGTGATTTTTTTTAAAAGTACTTTCAAATTTTTTAGAACCCTAATTAAATGAAACCTTTTTTCGATAATGGTTTTGCACAGTACCGCTGATTTTTTTTTTCATTCAGTAACAATAATTATTTCGTGAGAAGGAGAGAAAGAGGTGTGGAATTTTTTTTCCAGATCCGTTTTTTGTCTTTGTTTATGAGGTTATCATGATATTGTTTGGTTGAATCCAATATTGAAATGAAATCCAATATTAAAATATATTTCCTATTCAATCTTATTGAGAGTGTTAGCATATGACTTTGAAGCATCTCGTTGAGAAAGGTGAAGATAAGAAACAATGATTGATCTAAAGAAGGTCTACAAACAATACAAATATGTGAAAAGGGCATAAACACTATCCCCTAAAAATTCAAGAGGTGGGATCAGTTGCTTAGGAGAATTAAGCATCCCATGTTGACCGGTCACACCCGCCAAATGTATTGATCAGGTAGAGGGTGAAATTTAGTATAAAACAAAGGCTTTTATTGGCAAGAAACACATCAGAAAAAATACGACTCAATGATAGGTCATGTATGATTGCAAGGTCTTATAATGTACAAAGTATTTACGAAATGTAGAATCTATCCTTGAAATAGAATAACATTATGAGTACAAAGAATTTAGAAATGGCTGAATCTATCCTTGATAAATAATAATAACATTTATGAGTGAAATGTTGAGAACATACAGTAATCAGGCTCAAAAGTCCATCGGACCAATCATGATATATTTTAGATTTCGTGGTAGACATGAGTTCGTGGGTCTTTTCCAGCCAAGACAACAACGAAAATAAAACCGCCACGAAAATTTATACAATAGACAAAATATCAGGAAAAATCTTACCTTTGATGATATAACATATTAAAATCAGGCAAATATAAAATATGAATAAGTCACAGATGTAAATATAAGTAAGAAGATATCATTTTAAACATCTATCGGGATATAAAAATGGATTGGTACGAGATCAAATTTACCATAAAGCCTTTCCGGCTTTATGGGATTTGATCTCGTGACCAACCCGTATTTATATCCCGATAGATGTTTTAAAATGATACCTATTTCTTAAATAACTCATCAACTAAAAAAAAATCAAAACTTTTTAAGCGGCAGAAGTCGTTACTTTATTTTTTAAGAAAAGGCACGATTCTACAGGTATAAAATGTTTGATTGAATGTTGAAAGAATAGTGATTTTTTTCAAGAGGTTTTCAAAACCAAACTCCAATTGATTAAATATAATGGAAGGCTATTTTTAAATATGTAATAATTACTGACATAACTTTGAGTTCCGTTGTAAAAAAAAGCGTTTAAGATAATACTGTAAAACCACATATTTTTGTGGGATCAAATCGTGGTTTGAGGGGAAAAATTTTTTTTCGTAAGGGTTTGATTTTGTGGATGAAGAGTTGTTGAGTAGTTCTGTATATATTATGATATGGTATTTTACATTTCGGGGTAGACATGAATTCGTGGGTCTTTTCCTGCCACGAAAACAACGAAAATTAACCCGCCACGAAAATTTATACAATAGACAAAAATATCAGGAAAAATCTTACCTTTGATGATATAACAGATCCCTGGAACAAACAGGCAATAAGAAGAATTGCAATCTTCATTTTTGATCTTGAATCTCTGAGGAAACATTTTTCTACATTTTACACAGAATAAGTTATATGAAAAAGTAAGAAAACTTTTACTTAGTACATTATTTGCATAAATACTTACTTAAGAAGCGAATTGTTCACAAAATTGTTCGCCAACAACTGCTCTCTATATATACTCTAAAATTATATTATATGTTATAAATCTGATAAATTCAAGTATTCAGATACCGAATACTTAAATTCTGAAGAATACAGGTATACTATGACTTTGCACACCTGTGTTAATGTCGAGAACAGATGATGGCTATTCACCTCCTGTCTAAATGTTTTCAAATTTATTACTCAGTCAATTTGTGACTCGAAAAAGATCTGGGCTGTTTACTGGTAGTCACTTTTAAAGGACCAGTCCTGTCTAAATTGAATTATGAGTTCAATTACAGCAAACTGTGAACATGTATCTTATAG